AAAATAAGACAAGTCCTATTAGATACCGTTATGTTATATAAGTTATTATTAAAGTATTTAGTTCAGATTTAAGTTCTAATAAGTAAGCTTTGGTATTTCGTAAAAAAATGTTTTATGTGATTATAAATACTGTCTTTGTGGGAAATTTATAAAACGTAGTGTAAATTGTATCAAACCATTATATACAGCATATTTTATCAAATTTTGGGTATTCATTGTAACAAACACCACTCGCTGCTACTTCGTCGAACAACGTTACTTAGGATGAAGCGACACGGCACGCGCAGCTAATTGCGCAGGAGCAAGGCGGAGGATATTGTTGTATGTGATCATGCATAGTTATTTTATGTAGTCGGCGCGGATAAAACTTTATTCGAGCACTGTATCTTTTGAATTAATTGATAAAAATATATAAAAATAGTATTAATCGATAGTTTACATTATAAGGATGACGAATTTAACATAATATGAATTTCGACACATGTGATCATAACACTTTATTCTTCCAATGGGACGGTTTTAGCCCCCACTCCTAAACTTTGATTCGTTTTATCTAAGTATTGTTTTATTATACAACAAAATAAAAAAATACGTGTCTAATATTTTTTTATTACCTAAGTTACGGACTAATTATATTTTTAATTTTCATACCCTGTCATCATCCCCATTAAAGATTAAGCGTCATGGTGGCCCGGAGGTTAAGTCGCCCACTTCTCATGCATAAGGGTGCGGGTTCGAAACCTACCAACGGCAAGTACCAATATGACTATGAATTATGTACTTTCTAAGATTATTTAGACACCACTGACAAACGGTGAAGGAAAACTTCCTGAGGAAACTTGGACTTATAATTTCGAATAATTAGTTTGAAATCGTCAACCCGCAATGAGCAAGCGATGGTGATTAATGCTCAAACCTTCTCCGTGTGCGAAAAGGCTTTGCTCAGCAGTGGGTACTTATAGGCTGTTGATGATGATGATGAATTAAAGATTTATTTTTAGAGTACTTTCTACATTTCGATGAGTCCGATTTTTAACAAGCGTAGCTAATTAAGATTTTTCCTCGCTAAAAAGTATTTTTGTAGGGGCTAAGCGGTATTGCTTTAAGTCTAATTGAATTTTCATTAGCGTAAGATATTAACTTGGCAGGCAGAAAAAGAATATGTTCTTCTGTGCTTTTCATTGTGTTGTGTTAGGTAAAATAGTTTAGCATTCTATAATCTCTGCCCACGCCCATGAGACACGGGCGTAAAGTTATACATATATAACGTTAGTTATACAAGGTGTAGTTTTGAACCCGTATCATTTCTCGGAGGCATGTCACAGAAGTCATAGAGGTTAAATGTAAGAGAAGTCCAGTAGTTGGACTATTGTAAGCTTTATTGGAATCGGCCAACGTGGCAAGGGTTGAGGCGTCATGCACACATAAATGTCCTACAGTCGGTGGCGCTGTGTGTTGGGTTGTTCCGTTCCCAATAAAAAGGTTGACCGGACCAATCGCTGACACACACGTCATACGGGAACGGGTGCCTTCTGCTGGGTCAGGTCGGCTCTCCCATCTTGTTGGTGGGCTGGTTTCATGAAGCCTTATAAGTAGATAATGCCTAATTATTATGTAATTTATACTTTTGGTAATAATTATAGATGTAGTTAATTGTAGTGTGTAACTAAGTACTCTTTACTTTATAAAAATTGACTAGATGTATTATAATAAAAAAAAATTGTATGACAAGGGCACGGACCTCGAGTCCGTGGAGAATTAAAAAAAAATGTAAGAGAAAATATCGGGCCAATAGTTAAAATTACGGCTATAATTAATCTTTTCAGTTCGACAGTATTTATAAATAAGCGACAGCAATGTTTGTTATTGGAGTTTTATGGAATTAGGAATAATATCATTTACGTGTTTGAGTTTGTGTGTCATAAGCCGCGATATAAAGCTAGTTACAAGACGGCGGCGTGTTCTTCGCACTTACAGGTTTCCATAATTTCAGAAAATGAAAAATATTTACCCACAATTTTTTTATTGATTCGGACTCAGAATCTATATCCGAGTTACATCCTAGAAAATGACACGGCTTTAAAACAACACCTTGTATATTATATAAGTATGTAGTTAAAATAAGATAAGGTATGCAACCACTCGTGGCTTTTAACCAGATGTGCCGAAATTCACGTGTCTCTTATTTTTTGCCAGTTCCAATAGTCGTAATCAATTTGTCCAAATCAGAATATTAAACCTGAATTTGCTCAACATGACCAAGAAGGATTAGAATTGTATCAATGAGACTGTAAAATCATGTTGTTTTTTTAACCGACTTCAAAAAAAGGAGGAGGTTCACAATAGAGAAAATGCAAAAAATATGATAATTATGAAAATTATATGATTGAAATGGTAAACAAAATATATAAAAGTAAAGCTACTTCACATACATAACATCACGCCTTTTAGCCCCGAAGGGGTAGGCAGAGGTGCACATTATGCCACTGTACAATATAACACCCACTTTTCACTATTTATGTTATGAGTCCCATGTAATAGGGGGTGAGCCTATTGCCATATACCAGGCACAATTCCAAACTCCGTGCTACTACTGAGAATTTTGTAAAAACCCAGTAATACTTTGCCCGACCCGGGAATCGAACCCGAGACCCCTTGCCCGGCAATCGCACTTGCGACCACTCGGCCAACGAGGCAGTCGAAACGAAAAAGCTACTTCAATGTTTTTATTTTATATTATATTGATTTTTAAGAATAGTTACGTATTAAAGTTACGTAAAACCAAACGCATTTCACAAACACCATCAGCGGTTAGTGACGTCATTTGTGTCACGCTAACTTCTTGAGGTATAAGTACTTTGCGCATAAAATTATTTACGTTGTAATAAAAATCGAAGTTGTGTTTATTAAAGCGCAGTCATTTACCAAGAGTTAGTGTCGACACGATAGTAACTTTTTGTTGAGAGTTCAGAGTTTTCCAGTGTAGAAATGAAAAGGAGTAATTACTAAGGTATGCATGAATCATCATTTTATTCATGGACTAGCTTCTGCCCACGACTTCGCTCGCGCTCTTTTAAGGGGTTGGGTGCAGGTTACAAAAAAATATATGTACGATTATTAAATAGTCAGCATATCAATTTTTAGCTTTCTACCTTGAAAATTACGAAATGCTCCACACAAACTTTTTTTGGGAAAAAGGGTGGTTAAGAAGAAACAAAAGTTTACTTCTTACGTTACTTTTCCATTCATCCATTTTTTCAGCTATCTCCACTTTAAAAAACCACATCAATTCCTTTCTTCGTTTCGCCGTAAAAGATGGACAAACAAACATACACAAAACCTTTCATGTTCATAATATTAGTATATAGACTTACATGTCATCTGACGTTTTTTGACAGGTGAGTTTACGAAGAAAATTGCACTTTTTTATTGACATGAAATTTTTTAATTATGTATTGGATTGAAAAGTGGAAACAATTTATTTTTTACACCTAGGAAAGTAACCAATTGTACACCTTAAATGAATAGAATATACATAAATAAAATTAATATTAACCATTAGTAAAAGAAAATATATACAATTTTAAATATAAATAACTGTGAACTAAAATATTTAAGGTGCATTGGGGCTATTTCGAAAATGGGTATATTCCGAAAGTGCAAAAAATCTACCAAACGCAGCAATATATTCCTGCTGGCAACATTAGGCAAAGCGCCATCTTAGATTTACTTGTCGCGACAGACGTTGCGAGTCGCTCGCGCTAACATCACGCGAGTGTCATCAAATTATTTAAGAGAAGTGATTTCGCGCCGAATTTTGGTGATTCGGAATAACCCCAAGATAGTTTTCTCGAAATCCTGGTAAGTTATTTCAATGTTTGTTTGTTTTTATGATAGGTTTTTGTTTTGTGCTTATTGATAATAGGAATATAGGGTTCCAATTGTGTTTTTTTATTTTTATCTGATTTACCCCTCCGGGTTTATTTCGATATGATTGTTTCGCAATAACCCCACTTACGTTTTCTTACTGTAATTGTCAATAGTTCTCAAAGTGTATCGTTTTTTTGACCCGCGACGTAAATGACGTAATGTTATAAGTTAGACGTTTCTGTATGTGTGTGTGGTGTGTCTGTGGCATCGTAGCTGACCAACAGATGAACCGATTTTGTTTTCTTTTAAAGGTGAATTAACGGGAATGCTCTTAGATATGTGTGATGAAAGTTTGGTCGGGGATTAATTAAAATGCTTTATTATTTGTTTTGGGTTGGGTTTGAAATCGGTATCCATAATAGGGGTTGTGAGAGGTAGGTAGTGGTGAGGGAGTAGTGTAGAGTCATCCCCACTTCAAATAATACCCTCTCCACGTCTCTCACAATCCCCTATTATGGATACCGATTTCAAAACCATGCGAGGTATGCAAGGTGTATAACGGTTCTGCAGTTATATGTCTATGGTATTCCTCAGTTAATGCTTAATTGTTGCATTTTTTGTGTTGACAAAATTTATTTCTTTTTTCAGAGTCATCATGCCTCGTACTTATATAAAAAAGAAAAATAAAACATACACTTCTCAAGATTTAGCCACTGCCATACAGAAAGTAAGAAATGGGGAGCTTACCGCATATGCTGCAGCACAAATGTACAAGATTCCAATGACCACTCTCCATGACCATGTCAAAACTAAAGATACTCTTAGACAGAATGCAGGTAGACCAACTGTTCTACCTGTAGAAGACGAAAAAAAGTTAGCAAGCACCATCATAGTCATGGAGAAATGGGGATTTGGGCTCTCAAGATCAGAAATATTGGAGATTGTGGCTGAATATGTACGCGTAAACAATATTCAGACACCATTTAAGAATAACACGCCTGGAACAGATTGGTTTATCAACTTCCGAAAACGTCACGGTTTGTCTATCAAAAAAGCACAACCCGTAGAATATGTGCGAAGAAAAATGACAGATCCATTCGTCATCGCTGAATATTTTGATTTGCTGAATAAGACCTTAAAAGATTTAAGTCTTTTAGAAAATCCAGAATCAATTTGGAATTTGGACGAAACATCGTTGTGTCTGGATCCGACCAAAACAAAAGTGGTCGGAAAAAAAAATAAACCATGTGCAAGGACCACCTATGGAAGTGGAAAGGAAAACATCACTGTGTTAGCAGGAGCAAGTGCCAGTGGTAAAAAGTTGCCGCCTTTGATTATTTTCAAAGGAAAATTTGTTTGGGACCAATGGATGGCTGATCTTAATAAAGATGATTACGATTTCGAATTAACATATGCTGCAAGTACTAAAGGTTGGATGGAATCAGAAATTTTTCACAATTATTTTGAAAAAGTACTCATCCCAAGTCTCGGCGAAAAGCGACCCGCCCTTATAATTTATGACGGGCATTCAACGCACGTCGATGCCAGGGTTGTGGAGCTTGCGGTCCGAAACAATATAACTATCATCAAATTACCCCCACATACATCACATTTGTTGCAACCGCTTGATATATCAGTATTTAAATCTTTCAAAGCAATATGGGATGCAAAACTGGTCGAGTGGCAGAGAAGAAACGTTGGTACGAAAATGCCAAAAAACGTTTTCGCAAAAACTATGGCAGATACTTGGCAACAAACGAACCCCGAAGTTATAAAGAGTGGATTTAAAAAGGCAGGAATATATCCTTTCAATGCAAATGTCATACCTATTGATAAATATGATCCAGACGCTTATCAAAGATATAAGAAAACTTTACTTACCCACACACTCAACCAGCCAAAGACACTCAAAGAAATATGCATTGAATCATTCAACAATCAGTTTGCAACAGCTAATGAAACTATAGAAATAACAGACAATAATTACGTTGCCCTGCTATCAGAACAATCAAGAAATAATGCCCAAATGTTGCCCTTTGAAGCCAGACACCCGAGCCAAGTACCCGTATGTTTGCAGAATTCTATGCCAACTAAATCTAAAATAAATATTATATCAAACATAGTCATAAAGAAAGCATCACAAATACCACTTCAATACCCATCACAACTCGAACCATCAGTCTCATTTGAAGAACTACCTGAACAATCAAGAAATGATACCCAAATATTGTCCTTTGAAGCCAGACACCCGAGCCAAGTACCAGCATGTTTGCAGAATTCGAAGCCAACAAAATCTAAAATAAATATAATATCCAACATAGTAATAAAGAAAGCATCGCAAGTACCACTTCAAAACCCATCACAACTCAATCGATCAGTCTCATTTGAAGAATTATTGCTGCGAAAAATTCAACAAGACAAAAAGAATTGTGTTCCAACAAAAAAAAACGTGTCACAAAAGGTGCGGAAGTAATAACTGCAGATTTAGGAAAGAAAATTTTAGAAGAAGTGAAAGAAACGAAAAGTAAGAAAATTGCAACTAAAACCAGTAAAGCTCATGATAAACGAAAACGTAAACGGGAACCTTCCTCTGATACCACAAGTATATCCGATATCATCAGTAATCATAGCGATTCTGATATTATTGATTGTATCGATTTTGAAGACTTGGACGATTGCGAAGATAATTTTAATTTGTACCAGGAGGAGACAAGTTCACAGAAATCAAGAAAAGATAGGAAGTGTGTTATAAACATGAAAACCGATAAAAATATAACCAATGAAAAGGTACTCACTGACAAAACTACAAATTATGTATGTTCTAAGAAAGGCAAAGGTATTGGTAAAAAAAGCAAAGGTAAAGAAAATCAAGTAGACAAGAAAAAAGAAAAGGAAGTGTTGACTTATTTTGCAACAGACAAGGAAGACATAAATGAGCAGATTGCAGAATATTCTAATGAAAAACAATGTGGTATTCCAGAAAAGTGTCCCCTTCTAAAGGAATGTTATGATATAAATGATACAGTGCTTGTCAGATATTTCATAAGAAACAAATGGAAATATTATGTTGGGTTCATAGGAAAAATAACCAAACATGGAGAACATTTTTACTACCTCATTAACTTTTTGAAAACCACAAGACAACAGCAGCATATCACTTTTATTGAACCTAAAAAGAAAGATACTGACGAAATTCCTGAGTCCTTACTAGTAAAGAAAATAGAATTACAAAAGAAAATAGATCAAGACAAAGAATATTACTTGATCCATGATGAAGACACTATTTATTTCGACTGATTTTAAAATACACTAAATATATATATGTATAAAAATACAATTTTATTTAACAAAAAGCATCTAACTAAGGAAAATATTATGTGCATTTTGTTGTGATGTCTAACTGTAGTTAGCTTCCAAGAACATTTATGTTTTTTTTTTATTTTAGTACGAATTAAGTTTTTATTTTAGTACCACAAGATTCTGAAGAGTGGCCAAAAATTATCAAAAGTCTGTGATTCTTATGTGATTTAATAATAATGTTTAATGATTGTTAATGTAACTTAAATATAATAATATATTTTATATAAGTATATATTTTTTTAAACATTTAGACATTTTGATAATTTAATTTAATTTTATATCTGAAGATATATCATTTTTTGATTCTTAAATGATTCTAATTGTTACTTTACTCAATGTGAAGAATATCTACATAGTTACATACTTATAAAAATAAAAGTTGATCTCACTGAATTTTTGTTTTATTTTATTATTGACATTCTTTAAAAGACATTAAGAAAATAAGGAAGTACTTAAAAATAACTTTGTTCTTCGTGCAGTTTTAAATTTCCTAAAATCTCAAATGATATGTTGAGAGCCACTGTCACGTATGTCTGAACATCAAGGTTTTTCTGGGGTAATTCCGTAATACAAAGTTATAAGAATTGAATTTAACGGTTATTATTTAAAAAACTTACAATATCAAAATCTATGGGGCAATTACGATGGAAAATGAAATGTTAATTCTGGCTGAAATGCAATAAAGGCGACTTTTGAGTTCTTTCGGAATTACCCCGCGATAGTTCGTAATTATCCATTATGACCCAAAAATATGGTTCTTTATTTAAAACACTTTCTTTATCAAATCCAACGATATATTTAAAAATAAAATTCATGCACTTCAAGGGATTTTCAATATCTATGCAGATCTAAGCCAGTAAGACTCCTAAAATAGAGCATTCCCAAATAATCAAATGAAATGTTCACCTCTAGTCATCTCGCAGAAATTTCTATCGGAATTGCCCCAATGCACCTTACACCTTAAAAAAAAATAATTTACACACGATATTTTCATTAAGGTATCCAAGGAGGTTGGCAGCATTTTTAATAAATCTGTAATCAGAGCGGGAACAAATGTTAGGAGGATTTCTTGACAACTAACTGAAATATTTGGAATCCCCGGAGTTCTATCAAAAAACTAATTACGCAGGGATGAATACTAATATTAGTCCTTGAGAACCCACAGTATTTCATTCGTGTGTGTGAAGGTCGGATTAATAAATCCTATAATAAATAGAAGTTCTATAATAATAGAAGTTTGCTGGTCTTTTGTAAAGGCAGTCAAGGAACGCAAGCACGACCAGTGATAGACAAACATGGCGTCATCGGAACTAGGTCCGTTTTAGCGCGAAAATTAAACGGTGCGTTTAATACCGCATTGTATAGTTACGATAAATTAGATTGTTTTAATTTTTTAATATGCTCATGAGCTATTTTATATGAAATTCTTTAAAATAAAAACAAAACTAAAAATATTGTATGTTCCCTATTCGACCGTATATATGCTTTTTATGTTTGTTCGCCGATATCTCCGTCATTTATGAACTGATTTTGAAAATTATTTTATTGTTGGAAGATAGTCCCAGAATGGTCCCATGATACGGAAATCAGGATTTGATGATGGAAGATCAGCCCACATAAGGCACCGCAGGGGGCTGAGTCGTGAATGGAGGGGTGAAACCCCTCTCTAGTCCGGGGAACAAGGTGCCGACCACCTCCTCCACTACCTCTGACCGGAGACTGAGTCAGCGGGGGAGCACATGTGCGGAGCTTATGGGGCAGGGACATCCCCACGGGTCTCTGTTCAGAGTCTCCAAGAACTCCTGGTGGGCATTCTCCTTGGTCTGCCATATCTCCGCTTTGAGAGCGGCCTTTGCCGCCTTCTAACCCCTCGTACAGCTCCGCCTAACTAACCTCTGCGTCTATGACATAGCCATAGCATAGCATAGCACAGCATAGCACAGCATAGCATAGCATAGCATAGCATGGCATAGCATAGCATAGCGTAGCATAGCGTTGCATAGCGTAGCATAGCGTAGCATAGCGTTGCATAGCGTAGCATAGCGTTGCATAGCGTAGCATAGCGTAGCATAGCGTAGCATGGCGTAGCATGGCGTAGCATAGCGTAGCATAGCGTAGCATAGCGTAGCATAGCGTAGCATAGCGTAGCATAGCGTAGCATAGCGTAGCATAGCGTAGCATAGCGTAGCACAGCGTAGCATAGCGTAGCATAGCGTAGCACAGCGTAGCATAGCGTAGCATAGCATAGCGTAGCACAGCGTAGCATAGCGTAGCATAGCGTAGCATAGCGTAGCATAGCGTGGCATAGCGTGGCATAGCGTGGCATAGCGCAGCATAGCGTAGCATAGCGTAGCATAGCGTTGCATAGCGTAGCATAGCGTAGCAGTTTGTGAGTGAAAATCCCAACGAACAACTGTTGGGCAGAAAGCCCGCCAGGCACGATCACCTCGCCTGGTCGAAGGATCCTCCTTTTCGGATATAACAGAACTTTCCACTCTGTTCCCTACAATAACATAGCTTAGCATAGTATAAAATAACATATCATAGCATAGCATAACATCACGCGTTTTATCCCGATAGGGTATACTTTACGGCACGTAATGCCACTGTACGTATATAACACCCACTTTTCACTATTTATGTTATGAGTCCCATGTAATAGGGGGTGATCCTATTGCCATATACCGGTCACAATTATTTCAGATTTGTGCCTGGAGTCTGGACTCCGTGCTACTACTGAGACTCTTGTTAAATAAGATAATAAAGGACATTGCTCGTCGTCCATACATGGTTCGCCTAAGAACCAACAGAGAGGTGTTTTGATTTTAGATTTTAGATTTGAGACTTTTTGGATTTTAGATAATGTATATATTTAATTGAACGTAAATTAAAATAACGGACAACTTCGAGAATTTTGAAAAAATCAAAACACTTAACGAATTTTTAGTTTATAATTACTTCAATAACTTCCTTCAATTTCCATGTTTATTATGCAAGTCCGTTTATAATAAGTCAGGTCGCTGTTCTAAGTAGGTCCGTATCAGGAAAACTAAGCCAGAGGTCGATATTTCACGAGAAAATCACAGTCTTTTGTTCACGCAAAGTTGTTAGATAACATCAGAAAAGTAAGAAAATGCAAACGAATTCAGTACGCAAACGCAGATCGAGCATACTGCACAGAATGCGAGCGCTAAGTGACATTACTACCAAATGTGATCTGTCACTTCATCAACTGTCAGTGTCGATATTATTGCTCGTTGTATTAGGCGTAGAACCTACGCCAGGGGTTCCCAATCTATTGTAACCCGCGGCGCAGTTACAAGTTGAATATTTTTGACGGCGCCCCATCTTAACTAACTATTTGAGGAAAACAGTCGAAAGAAATAGGTACCTACGATAAAGTAGTTAAGTTAGGTCGATCGTTACGAAAATTAAAATACCACAATATCAAATTGACTTTTTTATTATAAAATTATTTAAACGGAAAACGACACCCCCTTAAGAAAAAGCAAAAAATTTAATACGATATTTACTCAGTCAAATCAATGTGAAGGGTGAGCTTAGTGATTTAGTCCGCACGGTTTTTTTAAGGGGGGAAAAAGACTTCATACTGGTACTCTCATTTCTTGCTCCACATTGATCAAAAAAGTATCCGCCAACATTTGTGGTGTTCAATAATTAGAGAATTCACTTACGGCGCCGCTCTTTACTTTCTACGGCGCACTAGGGCGCCGCGGCGCACGCTTTGGGAACCCCTGCGTAGGTCCTACGCCATTATAGCGGACTGTTTGTAACTAAAAATTGCCACTTATGTGATGTGATGAGAATACCGATCCTTGTCTGTGTCACACTCTCATTAAGAGTGCTGTTACAAATACTTGGCTGTATGACCTATTATACCTTTGCCTTTTAAAAACTTAAAAATTGGAACAGTAGAACTATCACCGAGTATTATGACGGAAGGTGAGGTCGGAAGTGAATACTTCTTAACTCGTCGAGTACCGTCATTATAGACACAATTGTAGAACAATAGGTTGCGGTCAACAGTTTAAACTGTCAAAACACCGCGAGGACACCGGTGACCGCAACCTATTGTTCTTTAATTGTGTCTATAATGACGGTACTCAACGAGTTAAAATGCTTTCGAAACTAAAAAGTGTCCGTTCTATAGAAATATTTGTAATGTATGTTATTAAATGAACTAAGAATTATAATAAACTAGCGACCCGCCCCGGCTTCGCACGGGTGCAATATGTATATACATACAAACCTTCCTTAAGAATCACTCTATCTATTAAAAAAACCGCATCAAAATCCGTTGCGTAGTTTTAAAGATCTAAGCATACATACGGACATACAGCGAAAGCGACTTTGTTTTATACTATGTATTGATGCTTCATGCGTGTTGATTCATAGGCCATTTTTAACAATGTCCTTTTAAAAAATTCTCATTTTTATTTATAAATAAATAAATAATGTAAATATTAACTTAAAATTTTATCCTTTATATGGCTTTTTTGTATTTTTTGGAAATCAGTTTGCCAGTCGGCAAAGGCCTCCTCCAAACTTTTTCACACACGTCTTTCTTGGGCCACTCTGTTCCATATGACGCCTGCCACTTATCTAATATCATCCCATCTCTTCTGAGGCCTTCCTCTCTTCCTTTTTCCTTCTCTTTGTATAATTAAGACGTACGCACACGTTTAATGATTCCACGTTTAAAAAGTTATAGGTAAGTTCTGTGATTCGAACAGTCAAATAACGTCAAAAAATCGGAATTCCTCATTGTTTTAGTAAAAATTACGACCAAAATAAAAACTTCGGACAATAAATCTTAAAGAATCTATTCGCTAAACTTTGTCAAATGAAAATGATAGATGATTTCATCGCTTGTTTTTCTCTTCTCATGTAAATTGTAGGACAATTAATTTTTTTCT